GGGTTCCAGGGACTGAATGTAGGCTATCAGGCTTGGTGGCAGGTCCTTTACCCGCTGAGCCATCCTGCCAGCTCCAGGATGGGTTCTGATTCAATACACAAAGAATTCCTAGCAATGACAGATGTGGAGCAACGTAGTTGACTAAGCATCTACCATGGCCCAGGCCACAGGAAACAAAATGGAATATACAACAGGGGGCTGGAGAGATGGCTCAGTGGTTAAGAACACTGGTTGTTCTTGCAGAAGACCTGGGTTTGAATTCCAGGACCCATATGGCAGCTAACAACTAGCCATAACTCCAGTCCCAGGGGATCCGACAGCCTCTTCTGACCTCCACGGGCGTTGCACGACACGGGTGCACTTACCTACATGCAGGCAATACACGCATACACATAAAAAAAACTGAATACACCAAAATTGCTACCTCACATAGCTCAAAGTGAAAAACTTATTTTTAGAGTGATTAAAGAAAGACTAGGGCTGGTGAGATGGCTCAGTGGGTGATGGTGCCTGCCACCAAATTTGGTCACACGGTTTGATTCCCCAGGACCCACATGGTGGAAGAAGAAAACTGACTCCTGCAAGTCGTCCTCTGACATTATGGGTGCCATGGCAGTGTGTGCCCACAATGTAATAAAGTTTTATTTTTTTATTTTTTTAAAAGCACTGACTAGAATGAGAATCTGTTAAGAATCCAGAATTGGACTGATGTGTGTGACAGCAACAGTCCATCCAAACACTTTACGAGTCTGGTACCCTAGAGAGCTGGCTGATGACTTTAGAGCAAGATAAAGTGTTCATTGGGAGCCTGGAGTCTCCAAGGACTGCAGTACAGCTTTAACTCTTTCCTTACCAAGTTACTAAATCAGCACACAAATTAATGAGGCTCGTATGGCACTTCCAACCATCTTTACCCATTGCCCTTGTCCCCCCATGTCTTTACCCATTGCCCTTGTCCCCCCCCATGTCTTTACCCATTGCCCTTATTCCCCCATGTCTTTACCCATTGCCCTTGTCCCCCCATGTCTTTATCCATTGCCCTTGTCCCCGCCCCATGTCTTTACCCATTGCCCTTGTCCCCCCCCATGTCTTTACCCATTGCCCTTATTCCCCCATGTCTTTACCCATTGCCCTTGTCCCCCCATGTCTTTATCCATTGCCCTTGTCCCCGCCCCATGTCTTTACCCATTGCCCTTGTCCCCCCCCATGTCTTTACCCATTGCCCTTGTCCCCCCATGTCTTTACCCATTGCCCTTATCCCCTCATGTCTTTACCCATTGCCCTTGCCCCCCCATGTCTTTCTTCTGGCCCCACTCTTCACCCATCGTCCCCTTTCTGCTTTCATGTCTCCTGTGTAATATGCTCACTCTCCCTCCCTCCCTTAAAATCTCTTCCTTGCCTCTCAGCCCCCACCACCCCACAAATTTAAAGCTAGTTCATCCATGCTAGAAAAAAATTTAGTATTTGTCTGCCTTGGGCTGGCTTATTTTCCTTAACACACTGATCTCCAATTGTACCCATTTTCCTGAAAGTGCCAAGATTTCATTTTCTTTTCTTTTAAAAATATTTTATTATACAGAGTTCAATATTGTATAACTGTATTAATTCAATTGTAAACCTAAAAATTTACAGCCAATTTTGAAAAAGATGCATCTTAGCTCTGGAAACTGTTATTGACTACATCAATGCTGTTGTAATGAAATGCTTCTTCTAATTATATGGTTATTAAATAAACAATTTAAAAAAAGAAGCAGAAAAAATATTTTATTATTTTTATTTTATGTGTATATGTGTATTGCATGTAGGTAAGTGCATCTGTGTCGTGCAATGACCACGGAGGACAGAAGAGGCTGTTGGATCCCCTGGAACTGGAGTTACAGACAGTTGTTAGCGGCCATGTGGGTTCTGGGATTTGAACCCCAGTCTTCTTCAAGAACAGTCAGTGTTCTTAACTGCTGAGCCATCTTTCCATCCCCAAGATTTCATTTTCTTATGGCTGAACAATATAGTACATACATACAATGGAATTTTATGTGCTCACCAAATTTTCTTAAGCCCATTAAATTATGTTCGAAGTTGGTGACCAGTTCACTTTGATACAGGGTTTTAGTGACCCCTAGTGGTCACTGTGAATATGACTGCAATCTAAACAGAAGACAGTAAAACCAAATCAGAACGTTTATTTTATAAAACTCACGGCTCTATACTGACAAATATGTGTCTTGAACTCTACTTTCAAAAAGGAGCTAAACTCTTTAGATTCCTGTTATCCACAGGCAGTATGGCTAAGAGACAGTAGGTAGGGCTGGAGAGATGTCTCAGCAGGTAAGAGCACTGGCTGCTCTTGCAGAGGGTCCGGGTTTGATTTCCAGCACCCACATCATGGCTAACAGTTATCCGTAACTCCAATTCTAGGGGATCTAATGCCCTACTCTGACCTCTGCGGGCATTTCATGACACGGGTGCACTTACATACAAGCAGGCAATACATTCATACACATGAAATAAAAATACTTTTTAAAAAGAAACATTATTAGTGAGGTGATGGAGCCCACGGGTAGGCCTCTACAGATGCCTTTGTTGCATGGGCTGAGGAAAATGGCCATGGCTATTTAGCTATAAAATATATATGAACAAAGGAGTAAGGCAGAACACATAAAATTTTCTACAGCAAGTAGAGCACAGGAAAATTAAAATTAGTAAGATTAGCTCACGTGGTTGGTATGATTTTACCAACATAAGAAAATGAAACTTTTCCAGGAGAGAAGAAATAGGAACCATAACACTCTGATGTAATGTAAAAAGTGCTGCTTTCCTCGCTGTGACCCCATTGTGACTTTTAAAGGAATTATAAACTCCAAATCATTTTTTCTTGCATATGATTTTACAATTTGTTCAATCAGTTCTTTTCCTAATTCTAAAGGAGAGAACTTCCTCTGAAGGGAAGGTCATCCCCCTGGAGGGGCAGCCCTGAGGATTGGTTTCTAGTCTGTGCATTCAATCTGCACCCTGCAGGGCTCGGAGGGCTCACAGGCCCTCTCAGTGACCCTCACATGCTCAGGCCTAATGATGTGAAGGTAGAGGAAAGTGACGTTCTACCTCTTTGATCTAGTTCAGTAATACGGGAGTGAAGGCCTAGATTATAATCTCTGCCTGTTGATCACAACAGCCTTTATTTACCTTCTGTTATCTTAGTGTTGGTTGAAACGAGAGAAAGGATGGATTCATGGAAAGCGCACTTGTGAATGTGGGCAAAGTCAGCAACAGTTTTAAGATTTTTACACACCCAACCCATTTGTAAAGTTGCATACAGTTATGACTAGTTTAGACTTGTAGAATCTAAGCAAATGTTGCCTTTTGTTTACCACAACATCTCTCATGTACCTCAAGAAATTCTTCATAAACTTTAAGAAAACTTAAAATTAACATTTACTATTCTTGTCTCCAGATATTAAAAAACTAGTTTTTTTCCTCATGGAGACAGTACCTCCCGCTCACTTTCCTTGGTTCCTCTCTATGATGGAATAGGAAGGTGATTAAGCATAACCCGTCTCAATGTGGGGGTCTTTAGATTTATACACATTTCAATAAATTAGTTTGCGGAATATGCAGCATATGTTGTATATCTGCAAAACATCTGAAAGTTGTGCTGTAAATCTGGTCAAAACATGGCTAGGGATGCCATATGCCCTAGCGGGGACTGTTCTTCAGTTAAATAGCATAGCATCAAACTATCGTCTAAATATCTATGCTTTTACTCACAGGCAAAGACTATTCTTAACTCGAATCAGACAAGGTTTTCATATAGTGAACGGCAGTGAACGAAGAGACTCATGACTGTTCAAGGTGCTGAGAGCTCAGCCCTAAAGAAGACACTTCATACTACCTCTGGAAGACTCAGGGAACATTGAAGAGGGAGCAGAAAGAATGTAAGAGCCAGAAGACAGCTGCAAAATATTATCTATGGATACAACACAGCCATTGCAATCATGAACTCAGCAGCATTAGGCCTGCACAAGACTTGCTCTGTCATCAGTTATGAACAGGGAGGGGCTCATGGGGCCCTCCCCCTCCTTACTGAACTACTAGTTGCTGGTAGATTCGGGGGGGCGGGGAGAGTCATTGTCTTCAGTTGTGAACCCACTAGTGAGCCCACCAGCTCCAATGGAGAGCTCCAAACCCACAGTCATACAGATGGCCCTGGTTTCGTTTTAGATATTTTAAGGTTTGTAATAACAGTAATTAGCAATAATCTTAATTAAAGTCTTTGCCCTTCTTGCTAAAATCAGTGTTACAAATTTTAGGATGACAGTACTGTTAACAAGGCAGAGCCAACCCAGCAGTAGACAGCAAGTGTGATTTCAATTTTAAAAATTCTGTCAAGGCAGTAACTTATTTAAAAATTGTACTTTGTACTTCACAAGGGTTGAAGGTCATACAGAAAAAAGTACCCAGGTTAGAAGTAGGGGTAGGGCTCCAGTGGTGTCCTGTTCACTTACTATACTTGTCACCTACTGAAAATCACTTAAAATTCCTGAGCTTTGGCTTCTTATTTGTATTGTTTACTCAAACTAGATCCACTGCCAGGCTATGAGGAGGCTGGAGCTCAGGTCTGTTCACCTCTGTCTATAGCCTCCTGCCCAGTACTGGACACACAGCATACACTCCGTTAATGTTTCCCGGTTGACTAAAGTAACACAAGATGGAAACATAAATATTATCACTGTCGACTCAAAAACTTTCCATGAGGTTTAAATGATATTGTGACACAGTATGTGGGAAAATGGGTACATTATTTTTTTTAAATATTTTATTATTTTTATTTTATGTGTATGCATGTATTGCCTGCATGTAGGCAAGTGCACCCGTGTCCTGCAATGCCTGTGGGGGTCAGAAGAGGCTGTTGGATCCCCTGGAACTGGAATTACAGACAGCTGTTAGCTGCTATGTGGGTGCTGGGATTTGAACCAGGGTCTCCTGCAAGAACAACCAGTGTTCTTAACTGCTGAGCTGTCTCTCCAGCCCTGGGTACATTATTTTTACATTAAAAAGTGTGGATACATTCTTGTACCGAACTTAAAAAAAGAAATAATGGTAAATGTATGAATAATTTATACCTTTCAAATTATTATAGATTACATATCTACAACCATTCTAAGGAAAATAGACTATATGTCTACCTGATGTCTCACAAGATTTTATTGTTTAGTAGTAGCAAGACTTTGAGATAAAGTAATCTGTGCTTGTCAATACTGCAGGCAAATTCTCTAAACAAGCACAACTAAAAATGTTAAATGTGAACTCCCTACAACACACAAATATATATGTATATATATATATAATATGTATTATCTTGCCACATTGCAAGGGATAAGCGATTTATATAAACGTGTTAAAAGACATACTGTCTGGTAAAAAAATGCTATGTGTAAACAATCCATTCCTATTTATGTAAGTGAAAAGTGGCCTGCACACTTCCAAGTGTGGAAACATGCATGTACCTAAGGAAGCCGTGAAGGCCTCACCCCACTGACAACATGCTGTGTGTCTGTGGAGTGAGACGCACAGGAAATGGGGACGTCTCCCTTCACAGAGACGGCTTACCTTTCTCTATGGAAGGGATATGAGAAAAAGAGACTCAAGCACGCTACCAGTCCAGAGCTTTGGAGGCCTTAGTTAAGGCGAGAGTAGGAAGTGGCAGATTTAATTTTATACAAATGAGGGCTTTAGCGCCTACTCCTTGTATGGATGAGGCACTGCAGCCTGTGGGACCACAACACTTACACGTTCTCTCACAGAGTGAGTGGGCACTTTTCCTTCAGGGACGGTGAACTTAACGGCTGACAGCTACATTATCTGAGATATGAGACTTTCCAAAAAAGATCAATCCACAAAACTGGGAGGTTCAGGAAAGATATACCTACTAGTTACAAAGGAAGGCAATAGGAAGCTAGTAATTAGACATGAATCTCATCAGAACAACAATATAGCCTTTGCATATTCTAGTAAAGGAAGTAAAATGTTTTTATTGTTTTATTTTTATTATATTTGATTAGTTCTGTCGATTAGACAAAAAAGATTTGTTGGCTAAATAAAACATAATTTCTAGAGTCTGGGGTCACATGTGTCAGCACCTGACTGTTCACTACTGACTGGTTGTGGATTGCTTTCATGGCTCCCAAGGTTCTTCTGGCTGTGACAGATCCTCCCCTGCAAAGTCCCTCATTTCTGCTTGTTCATCCAGCCCCAAGAACTCTCCTTCTTCCATGAACTTCCTTTCTTGGGGTGGTGGCTCTGTGTTGTGTGGTGTTCTTTGTGGGTAGTCTCTGTCTAAAAATGGCCTCTGGGTCTGGGATATGGTTGGCTCCTGTAAGTCATAACTCACCGAGGGTTCTGCCATTGTTTCAGGACCACTAAACCCGTCCTCCAACTTCAGAGACTGCTGTGCGTCCTTATGCTCGTAAGTGTTCAGCCTCCTTTCCACCACTTCACGGATCAACACTGGAAGGTTCAGAAGCCACCAGTTCTCAGATGAATTTAAAGCATTGCCTAGGCTCCTCCTTCCCCCTTAGCCTTTATAACCTTTGTCAATATAACTGATACATTGAATACGTAAATATTTCTTCAATTATTCTTCCCCACTGAAAATGAGATGACTTTTACATGAAATAAAATAACTTACTGTCAAGAACAGTTCTCCCCACCATGCTGTGTTCCATGGTTTTCTCAACTTCATTCATTAGCCATGGAAGGAATCCTATCTCAATATCTGGAATAAAAATTAAAGTAATTTTTGCAAATCATTATAGACAGAATGCACTTTCCCCAATGTGGTATTGTTCAGCAACAATGTTTTCTCAGCACAAAATGTTTGAGAGACTCAGCCAGCATCACTTTGCCGTGCTGGCTATGCAGGCTCTGCTCAGTTTCCTTCTACTGCAGGGCAAGGACTGTTTTTATTAATTAATCAATTAATTATTCGTATTTTTTGAGACAGAATCTCCCTGTGGCTGGCCTGGAACTCACTATGTAGACCAGGTTGGTGACTCTCTCGCAGAGATTGGCCTGCCTCTCCCTCCCAAGTGCTGGGATTAAAGGCACATGCCACCACGCCCAGCAGGAGTAGTGTGTGTTTTTTTAAAAAATCTTATTGCCGGGCATGATGGCACATGCCTTTAATCCCAGCACTTGGGAGGCAGAGGCAAGCGGATCTCTGTGAGTTCAAGGCCAGCCTGGTCTACATAGTAAGCTCCAGGACAGCTGGGGCTACAGGGAAACCCAGTCTCAAAAAGACCAATAAAAACTGTTTTTAATTTATTATTTTTATTTTATGTGTATGAGTATATTGCTTGCATGTATGTGAGTTCACCCGTGTTGTGAAATCCTGCGGAGGTCAGAGGAGGACTTTGGATTCCCGTGGGACTGGAGTTAAGGATGGTTTGTAGCCACCATGTGGGTGCTGGGAATCGAACCCGGGTCCTCTGCAAGAGCAGTCAGTACTCTTAACGTTGAGCCACATCTCCAGCCCCAGAAGTAGTGTTTTAAAAATAGAATTTCCTTAGAGTCAGGGTACTTAGATCTGGGTCCATAGGTGTGATCTGAGATGGATCAAGGAGGCAGGGCAGGGAGAAGAGGATCTGGACCAATGCCAGTGATGTGAGATACAAACGTGGGAAACTGAATGCCAAGAAAAAGAATGTCTCCTCTGAGGCTAGGGCTGAGTGGAAGCTGATCTGAAGGAGGCCGGTGAAGGGCGTCTGAGGAGGCAGCCACCTGGGAACCACTGGTGAGGGGTCAAAAACTGAGTGCCTCCACTGTAAGATGTTTGTGCCGACTGAAGTGGAAATGTACCATCTACGCATTTAAATAATATTGCCTTTAATCCCAGCACTTGGGAGGCAGAGGTAGGTGGATCTCTGTTCAAGGCCAGCCTGGTCTACATAGTGAGTTCCAGGCCAGCTGGCGCTACAGGGAGACCCTGTCTCAAAAAAAAATAAAAACAACCAAATAAAAAAAATATTGTCCATTACAATATATTTCAAAGTTTCAAGACAGCTTTTTGGGATGCAGGCATCTAACTGTTTTATATTGATAGGATGACAATGGAGAGTGTGCTGGAATATTTGCTACTATAAATTATTTAAATTTCAGATTTCATTTGCAAGCTTTTAAGTTCTATGCCTCTCAGGCCCAGAAACAATGGAGTCAAGTAACTATGTACTGAAATCCTTGAAACCGAGCCAAAATAAATCTTTCATCCTTTTAAGCTGATTACCTCAGGCATTTTGTCACAATGACAGCTGACTAATAGCTAGAACCCAAGAAGGTGGGATGGTAATCTAGAAAGAACAGCACTGTTGGTGTTCCAAGTCAGTTTGAGACCTAAACGAATTCATTGGGTGAGTACTTGGGAGCAAAACTTTAACTTCTCTGAGCCTCAGTTTGACTTCTGAAAAATGAGAATTCTATCTGCCCTATCTAGTCTACATGGTTACTGTGAGGATCAAATGATGTCAAGCATGGAAACACTATGTAAACTAGAAAGTGCGAGATTAAAGCAAACTACTGATATTTGTTCTTTGAGCTCTCCCTATTGAATTGGATATGTAATCAGTGAAATATGAACATTACTAACATCTGCCTCCAAATACTCTGCATCACTGAAATAAGACCTGTCTATGAAGTACTGTAGATGTAATGCTTTTTCATCCAAGGAGGGTAACAGGGAAATTACAGCTACCTCTTTTTCAGCCTGGCCAGGAGAGTGGGCCTCGAGCTGGCAAACAGCTGTGAGCTGTGGTTCTACAAAGGCAGAGAGATCATGGCTTCTTTTAAAAATCTCTAATAATTAAACCAGCTGTAAGCACCCTAATTTAAATGGATAAATGGCTTTTTTTTTTTTTTTTTTTTTTTTTTGGAGATGAACACACTATATAGACCAGGCTGGCTTTGAGCTCACAGGGATCGAAAATGTGCAACCACCATGCCCAGCTCACAGGGATTTTTAAATGAAAAAAATTTGTGTGTTTGCGTGTGTGTGTGCGTGCGTGTGTGTGTTGTTTGTGTGAGTTCAGGAATGCCACAGTGCATGTAGGCCAAAGGACAACTTTCAGGAGTCTATTTGATCCTTCCACCAAGAGTTCTGGGGATTAAATTCAGGTCCACAAACGGTTTTACCCACAGAGCCACCTTGTTGGCCTGGACTAGAGGGCTGAGGAAAAAGTACCAACAGCTACTCGCATACACACAGTGCTTTTTTTTCTTATAAAGCACTTTATTCATACAAAATTTCATGTATCTTGTGATTATGATTTAATTCTTAAAAAGAATCCTCATTTCAAACATGAGGAAACTAGAGGTTATAAAACTAATGATGAAACTGGGCCATAAACTCGGGTTTTTGTTATCAAATCTATATTTCTTTCAATTACATAATGCTCTTCTCAATAAGAGACACTAATATCCTAAAATCAAGACTTTTACATTTCTATAATTTTTTAAAAATTTAGGTTTTTAAAATTTTTTAATTGAATTTTTACAAATTTCAGAAAATATATTTTAATACTATTTAGGCCCCCTCCTCTAGCTACCCCCTCTTTTGTAGTCCCTCCCACGTGATTTCATGTTACACACACACACACACACACACACACACACACACACGTGCCTATTGAGTCAAATTTGTGTCTCTAAACACCCTTCAGTGTGAGTCCATGCACTAGCCTGGTCAACCTACCCAGTGTTATACTTTAAAGAACTGCTCTCCATCTCCCAGCTGCTATCGGTCATCAACAGTTCCTCAGCTAGGACTGGAGCTTCTTACGCACTTCCCCACGCTATGCTGGGATTCTGTCTGCTTAGAGCTTGCATGGGACTTGTGCATGCTGTCATCATTGCTGTGAAAACTCCATTTCCTTGTACTTTTAATTTATATATAATAATGGGCTTAAAAAATTACTTTATTAATTACAGGGCACTATATTTATTAGTGACATTATTTACTTAAACAACTAAAATTGGCCTTTTGTTTCAGATATAGAAAGATTCTAATTCAGAATAAAATGATTACGAAGCATGGTGGTACTTGTCTGTATTTCCAGGAGGAGGCGGAGGAGGGAAGAGAATGAATTTGAGGCTGGCCTAGGCTACAAAGACTGTCTTAAAAAATTAATGAATGAATTTATTTTTATTTTATGTGTATAAATGTCGTGGTTGCATGCATGTAGGTGCAATGCTTGCGGAGGTCAGAGTACCAACAGCTGTTAGGCATGGTGCTGGTACTGAACCCGGGTCCTCTGCAAGAGCAGTCAGTGCTCTGAACCACTGAGCCACCTCTCCAGCCCCTACAAAAATTGTCATTAAAAAAAGGGCAGAGCTGGGTATGGTGGCGCAGGCCTTTAATCCCAGCACTGGGGAAGCTGAGGAACTCTCATTGAGTTCAAGGTCAGCTTGGTCTACCTGGTGAGTTATAGGACAGCTCCGGCTAAAGGGAGACCCTGTCCCAAAACGACTGAAAAAGAAAAAAAGGGCAGGGCAGTGAACATTCACATGAAATAAATTTGAACCACTAAGATGTTCGTTGTAACAGTGTGACTCCAACAAAAATCTCCACAAACCTCTTTCAATGGGATCATAAAAATATCCACTCTCCCGAAGACTGTCAAACACAGCCGGGATAAGGTCCGCCAGGTAGCGCTGTGCGAAGGCCCGGGCTGAGATCTTCTGGGACGTCTCATGGTGCTTGCGCACGATTTCCCCCTGCTGCTGCTTCCGGCGTTCCTGCCAAGAGAAAGTCGTGGTTGCACATGGATACCGAGCATCATGTCCCCTCTAATACTGCATCTAGTGGAGCGAAATGTGTGCAAGAGTCTGGATTCATCAAAAAGTGGACAGCGTGGCTGCCTATTCAGGAGTCACCAGCTGGGGCTGGAGAGATGGCTCAGCGGCTAAGAGCACTGGCTGCTCTTGGCTGGAGAGATGGCTCAGCCGCTAAGAGCACTGGCTGCTCTTGCAGAGGACCTGGGTTCGAATTCCAGCACCCACACTGTGGCTAACAACTGCCTGTAACTCCAGTTCCAGGGCATCTGAAGGCCTCTTCTGGCCTGCATGGGCATTGCACGGCATGGGTGCACCTTATATACCTGCAGGCAATATCCTCATAAGTATAAAATAAAAATACTAAAATATTTTTAAAAATTCACCAAGACATAACAAATTTCAGCAATGACTGAGTACTGAATTTAGAAAGAAATAAAAAATGAGGCAAGACAGAATTCATTTCCTGACCTAGTTTCAAGCAAAATAATTACTATGATAGCTGGATGCAATGATGTACACCTTTAATTTCTGAACTCAGGAGGCTGAGGCAAGAGAAGAGTGAGTTAGAGGCTAGCCTGGGTTACACAGGGAGACTGTCTCAAAAACAGATGCTTATGATATACATACATATTTTTTATTAGCAGCATCATAAAGTAGTACTGATATGAGGGTTATACACTTAAATATCTTCGATCAAAGAACACAGGCCAAGGATTTTGCTTGTTTTTAACAGTTCTTTGAATTAAAGCTGAAATGGTTTGGGAGATGATGAAAACTTGGTTTTGGTGGTTGTCTTTGGGTCATGTGACATCTATAAAGTTAATGAATGCTCTTCCATAGTCCCATGGAGGAGTGGAGTATTAATGGATTTTCTAAATCTATTCTCAAAGTTTAAAAGCAAATATAAATCTAGATGACGTATTCTACACTTTTCTCCCTGATGGAAAATACATATTTTTGGTAAAGACTGCATTGATTATTTCAATAAAGTACTTGTAGTCAGCGTTTATTTTCCATTTGTAAACAAAGATTAGCACTGCACACCTCATTATGAGTACCATGCTCTCCATGCAAATAATTAATGATTAATTATGGGAGAAATTATAAAGTGCAGCTAAGTATTGAGTAGAATTTTCCAACAACCAACCTCTTCACAGATATTTGGGCCCTTTGATAGATCAGGTTGGCCTCTATTTCACAGAGATCTGCCTGCCTCTCCCTCCTGAGTGTTGGGACTAAAGGCATGTGCCACCCCACCCAACTACTGGCACCACTTTTTGTTTATTCAGTGCACAGTGAAGAGTCAGAGCTACTGTCAGAGCGAGAAAGTCCCTTAATTATTAAGTTCAGACGTTCCTAGTTGTAGGATACTGATAAATCTTATAAAATGTGAGATGCCCAGCTCTAAGTGACACATCTGCAATGGAACCTCCACACCCAAGGCTCATGGAACACAATGGAACAGGGAGTAGAGAGCATACTCCTACTAGGGAAGCTTCCTCATGCAACAGAAGGTGATGAACACAGAAGCCACAACTGGCCAAAGTTGTAGAGAATAAGAGACTGTGGAGTGTGTGCGTGTCCCTGGATAGGACTCCTATATTAAACCTCACCCACCCAGGGCTCAGGGACCATTGGGGAAGGGGAAGTGGAAAGACAGTAAGAGCCAGGGGTGGTGAATGACCATACGGAACAGAATCTCCCTGGCTTGAGTGAGAGGGAAATAGCATAAAAACCCCAAGAAAAAGCACAGGAAATGTACGGGGAGCTATAACAGGATGCCTTCAAAAGAACACAACAACCCCCAAAGGAACGAGTATGGATGAAGTAGCTGATAAAGAATTTAAAAGCATGAGGCTGGAGAGATGTCTCAGCGTTAGGAGCACTGGCTGTTCTTGCAGAGGACCTGAGTTCAGCTCCCAGCACCCACATGGTGGATAACAACCATCTGTTACTCCAGTTCTAGGGAAATGATGCCCTCTTCTGGCCTCCACAGGCATTGCATGCACATGGTGTGTCCACATGCAAGTAAAATACTCATATACGTAAAATAAAAATAAATCTTAAAAAATGAGTTCTAAGGGGCTGGAGAGATGGCTCAGCAGTTAAGAACACTGGTTGTTCTTGCAGGAGACCTGGGTTCGAATCCCAGGACCCACATGGCAGCTAACAACTGTCTGTAACTCCAGTCCCAGGGGATCCGACAGCCTCTTCTGTCCTCTGCGGGCATTGCATAACACAGGTGCACTTACCTACATGCAGGCAATACACACATACACATAAAATAAAAATAATAAAATTAAAAAAAATGAGTTCTAAAACTTTCTTATTGAGGTCATACAACCTTACCTGGAGGGTTCCTAACAGTATAGGGAAGGGCCTGGCCACTGAGAAGAGACCCAGAATTCTCTCCAGAGCCTTTGCTGCTTGCTCCCATCAAGCCTGATGTACTCCAGTTTTTGTTTCATCTTTCTACCACTGAATTATGGCAAATCAAAGTATCTCTTTCTCTAGCACTCTTGATCCTCACAGTGTCCTCTGGCTGGGACACATGTAATTTAGGAACCTTTATTTCATTGAGAATTTTTGGAAACTGGCTTAGATATATTAGTATAAAGGGGAATTTGCAAAATGCGGTCAACATGAGAGGCCCATGATCTAAAGGAGAGAATGGATCAACAGCTGCTGCGGGTTCTTCTCTTACGTAGTTCCAAAGATCACCGACTTTATGATACACCACATGTATCTTCAAACACACAGTTCTAAGTAGCCGGAAGGCTGAAGAGGAGTTGGGCTAATGCACCGAAGGGGTGGGGGATGTGCCCAGCACGCCCAGGGTTCACTGTGAGGAAGTAAAAAGGATGCGGAAAGCTTCACCTTTTCTTCTTGGTGCCGTCTCTCTTGCTCCTCCAGTCGCTGAACTTCAGCCAGCTCAGCGTTCCGTATCTCTTCATACACGTACTGCCTGGCCCGCAGGTTGGCTAACTCCTCTTCTTCCATCACTTCCAGAAGGGCCTGTTCAATCGTTTTCCCCAGCAGAACTTCTAACATTGGTTTGACTTCAAGATCAAAGTCAAAGAGCTTAAACACAGAATAAAGCAAACAAGATTTTAGTCAGGAACCAAACATATAGCAAAAGCATAGAGGAGAATGCCAGTACAATATGCCAAGTGCTGGCTGGGAGGTGGACACTGACATGCTACTTTATGTTTTTAATTCTCAGAACAGCCCCAACAATGTACACAGCATTTTGTTTGTAGGCAAAAATATATTACATTAAAATTATGAAAAAGATCTATATATTTATCAATATGAACTTGAATACTTAATGATTTTAAGACTGAACTTTGAAACCAAAGAAAACCATCCATATTCTTATTTTCTCTCTTTTCTGCCGAATATTTACTGATTGTTCCTAGAATGGCAGTTTGATGATCTGAGAAAGAACAACAGCTGTTTAAATGATTTATAGCTGGGGTTAGAGACAAACCTTTCTATGTAGCTTCTGAAAACTGCCTTTGTTTTAATGACATTTTCCCCAAGTTCTTTCATTTTTAAATGTCTTTTACATCATTATATATACCATCATTGTCTTCTTTAATCTACATTCTACATTGAAATGAAAATGCAATTATGAATTGTTTAAAACAGTCCTTTCATAAAAGTTATGCACTCCACAGGCCATCCAGAGTGGAATCGTAAAGGGTAGTATTTGGTACAAATCTTAGGTGTATATATATTAACTAAGTTTATAAGCAAAATCATTAAATGTGTAAAAATATTTATAATCATATTTGCTGGGAATGATAGCACACATCTTTAATCCCAGCACTCTGGAGGCAGAGGCAGACAGATCTCTGTGAGATCAAGGCCAGCCTGGTCTACATAGTGAGTTCCAGGTCAGCTGAGGCTACAGGGAGACCCTGCCTCAAAAAAACAACAAAAAAAATTTGTACTAGTATTTATTTTTGATCAGCAAGTAGGAACAATTAAAATTATGATATTCAAAACATTTCTTGGTACTACAGGATAAAACTACTACAGATAATATCTGAAAAGAAATAAAAAATAAATCTTTCTGATCATGAAATGGCTCTTGCTTCTATGGAGCTTTATTTGAACCTAATTTTACATTGTTTATGAAGATAGATGAAGGTCAAAAGAATATACAGTACCTCTCCTTCTAGTATTTGAGTGGACACATCTTTGCCTGTTTTGGCAGGGATAAAGAGTGGTGTTGGTGGTCTGTTCAAAAATGCATCTGTCTGGCATTCCATGTCAACTTCAACTATACGATCAGCAATTTCTTCAAGATATAATTCTAGGAAAAGTATCATGTACAGTGAGTTTTAAATTATGGTCTATTTCAGGCATTCAAATTTATTTGAAATCTTAGCTCCCTCAAACCAGAATTAAATCATGGAGGCACATACCTGTAATCTTAGCAGTTAGGAGACTGAGGCAAGAGGATCTTGAATTTAAGGCCTAGGATCCCACAGTGATTTTGACTCCAACTCAAAATCCAAAACAACAAAACAAACAGCCCTCAAACCAAAATCATACAGAATTAATGGATTAGAAAATAAATATTAGAATAAAGGTCCTCAGTTTACACACTGAGCTAAGAGTTTCACACATGTAAAAGATGACAGAATCAGTTAGCCTAGAACGTTTACTGAATGGCTGAGAACGGTTGAGCTCTGCATTGCAAAGTGGAACTAGATGAGAACCTAAGGTCATACGTGTGTATGAGATGCAAAGTGTGATAGGGCATGACAGGCTAATAACACCTGTATCTGAGTCTTACCGTGAATCTGTAAGGACTTGCTACAGTGAATGTCAATTCCTGAGCATTTTAAGAATCATGCACAGGAGTCAACATGCTCCATGACATTCTCCCTATGCTGCACTTTAGAAACAACACATACAAACACATTTCGAGTAAAAACGACTTGTATGAGGACAGGTAACATGGCACTGCCAGAGGAACTTGAGCACTGGAGACAGAGGCTGAGCACAGATCCAGCCAAGATATATTATCTCTGGGCCTCTGTTTCTTCATGTGTAAAAAGAATAAGAATTTCTTATCACATGGAATCTTTTTTTTTTTGAGACCTGGTTTCCCTGTAGCTGCAGCTGGCCTAGAACTCACTATCCAGACCAGGCTGGCCTCAATCTTACAGACAGTCCCCTGCCTCTGCCTCCTATGCCTCCCAAGTGCTGGGATTAAAGGCATGCGCCCATGCCCAGCACACAGAATCTTTTTAACACAGGAGATTCACAGGTAAAGGGCCTGGGGCAGCTGGTGAAGAAAAACTCGGTAAGTACAGACCATATCACTTAATACTTTTATGGTATAAAGTTTGAGGCATGTCCAGTCTATGACACTGTGATGTGATGTGACATCTACAAAGCTTACACTTGAGATGTGCACAACTGAGTTACCAAAAAACCCTGCAAAACTCTCATGTCTTAAGTTTTCACTTTTGTATTAAGCACATTTGAAGTTTTTGGACATACCAGAAGCAGCACTAAGTCTTAGCTCTCACAGAGCCACAACCATGGCTAATTACATTCTAGGCTTGGCTTAGTGGCAGGGGAAAATAGTGTAGAATGGTTTTACTCTTTGATTTATTCCAAAAATAACCTTGGTGAATCTGCTCATGCCCTTGGATGGATAGAAGGTGAATCTCATGCTGTATTACTTGGAAGAAAACAGCAGGTATTTGAAGATCACTAGGGCTCTGTCAACAGGTAAGCCTCTACAGCGGAAAGGGTGAGGCCAGCAGGAAGTCCTGGCACCTGCCTCAGAAGCAGCTGCTGCACAGCAAGAGGAGCATAGGAGAGAAGGAAAGATGCCCTTAAGTCATCAAGGGCAGATGATTTAAATCTGAGTAGGTTCATTCCCTTTGAAAGACCAATAAAATACCCCTAAAAGATCCAGATTGCTCTCCTGTAAGTTCTGATGAAAGAAAAGTGATTCATGTTGGGCTATGAACAATAATCCTAGTTTGAAATATATTACGTGGAAAGGGCTATGAGAATATTAAATTGGTCATAAAACTCTTATCAAATCTAAATCCCTACTTCTAGGCATATCCAACATAAAATATTATATGCTCAATGTATTTGTTTAATGACTAGACTTCCCTACCACGTGACTGGGGAAGGAGTGACAAAGGTGGGAGATATATAAATAACACAGAGGAGGGGCTGGAGTGACGGCTCAGAGGTAAAGAGTGCTGGCTGCTCTCGCAGAGGAGCTGGGTTCAGTTCCCAACACCTGCATGGCAGTAAACTGCTGCAGGTAACTCTAGTTCCAGGTGATCTGATGCTCTGTTCTGGCCTCCCATGGGCCCCTGCACACGTGGTACACTTACATACATGGAGACAAAAGACTCATATACCTAAAATAAAAATAAATAAAAATAATATAAAAGAAATAAAATACAAACTGGACTGACATCAACAAGTGAGCGAACCAAGGAGCCATGACAGCAGTGGCATGGTCACGTACCTGTCTGCACGTCCACATGCTTTCTGCCTTCCACAGGCTCGGGTGTTCGGGGTCTGAGCTGCTCTTGTGCTCGTTTTCTGGCAAGAGCCTTCCTCCTGGCCTGCTGCTGTCGCTGAAGCTCTAGCGGATCAGGCTGCCCAGGCTGACAGGGGCAGAAAAGGCTTTTAGATATCAGTTCTCAGAGCAGATACCCACTTCCATTCCAAAAGCGATTCCTGACTAGTACTAAAGCACCTGTTGTGGTCAAGTGCCTCCTGGTCAGGGACATAGAAGATGGACATTTTCCTGGAAGGTTGTCAGGTGATGCTAAGGGTATCTGACAAAGCCTAAAAGCAACTTCACACTGGGATATGTGGTGCAGAATCCTATCTAATGGCCTGTTTTCCTTAATCAAGCATCTTTATGTTCAGCTCTTCTGGTGCCTAGAACAACTGACATAAACACGCTGTTATCGTAAACATCAGTGGATATTTAAAAATTGAAAAATACGAGTTTAAAAAGTCTGAATTTCAATTGAATAGAATTCTCTTAAAAGATGTATCAATTCACAAAGAAAACATCCTTAGTCCAAATGAAGCTTTTCCATGTACACAAAAATGTTGATTAGAGAATTGAAAATACTGGTCTATCTGCTCTCAAGTAATTATGAAAAGAAAACGGAAATATAGAAATATTTTATACGAAAAATTTTAATATTTAAAATTTGAAATCTAAAATTTTTAAAACTTTCTGTGTATACAATGATGTGCATATGCGTGGGTGTGTGTGTGTGGGCTGCAGTGTGTGTGCTGTGGTGTGTGTGGAGGTCAGAGGACAAGCTCCAGACCGTTTGAGACAGGGTCTCGTTTGCAGCTGAATGCACCAGGCTAGTTGGCCCACAAACTTCTGAGGATTCTCCTGTCTGCCTCCCATCCCACCTTAGGAACATTGGGATTACAGATGTGGTCGGCAGAGCTGGCTTTATGTGGGTTCTGGGGATTTGAACTTAGGTCCTCATGCTTGCACAGTAACTGCTTCACCCACTGAGCTATCTCCCAGTCTCTCCTAAACACATTTTAACAGGAACAACAGTGTAACAACATTAATGTTTTAAAAAGTATTTCATTTATTATTTTTATTTTATGTATATGAATGTATTACCTGCATGTGTGTAAGTGCACTGCATTGTGCGATGCCTGTGGGGATCAGAAGAGGGCATTGAATCCTCTGGAACTGAAGTTATGAATGGTTATTAACTGCCATGTGAGTACTGGGAACTGAACTGGGTCCTCTGCAAGAGAGTCAGTGCTCTTAACCATTGAGCAGATTATCTCTCCAGCCCCAACATTAATGGTTTTTGGAAAACAAAAACAAAAACAAAAAAACTACCTATGATCCCATATCATGTAGTGCCACTGATTTTGAAGCTGGGATGATACTGACATGCATTACAGACCTTTCCCATGTTTGTATTGTACAGAGTGTTGATCTTGAAGCTGAAATTCCAACTCTTCAAACTATTAATTACTGGGATTAATAACTCAGACTAATAACCTAAAATTTCAGATACTTAATTTTCCCATTTGTACAACGAATATACTCATATTTATTTAAGGCTTTGGTTGCTAGGAACAAGTCAGACGGCAATATAAGGAGCTTCGTGCAGTATCTGAAAGAGCTCCTTCATTTCCTGTTATCATGTCCTTTTCTATGAGACACTATAACCATATATTACAAGAAAGAAAAGAGCTGTCTGCAATTAAAGTTTTCCAATATAATTACTAATATCATTTGGATCCTTTAGTGAAGAGGTTTTTTTTCTCTCTCTGTGTATTCTACACTATTATAAATATTCTTACTTATTTCCAATTTCTACATAGGAGGGAATTTTAAAGTCAGCTCTTAAAGATTTAGGATATCAACATAAATACAACCAGTTCATTTTAGAGAAGCGCTGCTGAGGCTGTTTTAGGCACCAGTTAAAATATTCTTTAAAAAGTTCTAATTTGAGGGGCTGGAGCACTGGTTGCTTTTGCAGAGGACCTGGGTTCAATTCCCAGCACCTACATGGTGGCTAACAACTATCTGTAACTCCAGTTCCAGGGGATCCAACGTCCCCTTTCTGACCTCCTTGGGAATTGTACAACACAGATGCAGGCAATACACTCAAACACATAAAATAAAAAAATGATTTTTAAAGTTCTGTTTTGAAATGATTCCCAGGAGATTATAAATAGCACAGGACCCAAAGGGAAGTTATTGGGTAAATACTATTACTAGACCTACTCAGTTTTCACACCTTCGCCTTCACTGATTTGTACGTCTCTGTACATGCAGTTCGACACAATTTTGCCCCACATACAGATTCACACAATCAGTGTGCAGTGAGCATATCATACTAATTGGCACATCTATCATTTCTTTGTGCTGGAAACACTTAAAATCTTTTCTATTAGCCATTTTGAATTTATGTTTTTTTTTTCTTTTTTAAAAAAACTCACATACAAGGAATAATACAGAGTGTAACTCTTGAAATTATGTTTTTACTAAACATAACCATGAGTCATCTGGTTCCAGTATTGCCAAGAGTTCACTTGTCCCCCCCCCACCTCCACTTCATTGAATGAGTTGCAGCAGTTGGTTGGATGGAATTACCTGCTTAATTTTCAACACTTACCTATTGAAAAACAGAATATGTTTTCAGTTTCTTTTCAACAATATTTATTATTTATGTGTATGAATGTATTGACTGAATATATGTAAGTGCACCAGTGTCATTCAGTGCCCTCGAAGGTGTGAAGAAGGTGTCTGATTCCCCTGGAACTGGAGTTACAGACAGTTGTTAGCTGCCATGTAGGTGCTGGGACTCGAACCCAGGTCCTCTGCAAGGGCAGCCAGTGCTCTTTTTTTTTTTCCTAAAAATTATTTAATTTTATGTGTATGAGTGTTATGTCTGCATATGTGTAAGCTCGCCTATCATGCAGTGCCTGTGGAGGACAGAAGAGGGCGTCGGATCCCCTGGAACTGGACTTACAATTATTAGTCACCATGTGGGTGACTAACAACCTGGGTCTTCTGCAAGAACAGCCAGGGCTCTTAACCACTGAGCCATCCTCTCCAGCCCAGCTTTCAGTTTTTGTATACTATAAACTATGGATGTTTATGTGCAGGTTTATATGTAAACATGAATTGCATTTCTAATCTTGTATACATAAATGCAATTTTGAGGTTGAACAGTGAGCATACCTTTTGTTCTATAAGTAACCCTTGAATGAATTTCCAGAGTGGAGGTGCTATTTTATACTTGCCCAGTGGTCTGTGAGGATTCTAGATGCAGCACAACCTCACAGCACTTCCTATTACAGTTAAAAAAAATTTTATGCTGTGGGGCTGGAGAGATGGCTCAGTGGTTAAGAACACTGACTGTTCTTGCAGAAGACCCGGGTTTGAATCCCAGCATCCACATGGCAGCTAACAATTGTCCATAATTCCAGTTCCAGGGGATCCGACAGTCTCTTCTGTCCTCTGTGGGCATTGCATGACACGGGTGCACTTACATACATGCAGGCATAACACTCATACACATAAAATAAAAATAATAAAATATTACAAAAAATTTTGTGTTGTAATAGGTATGTGGTAAGCATATCATTGTGGTTTACATTTTTATTTTGCTAGTGGCTAGTGATGAACATCTTTTTATGTGCCTATTTGTCATTCACATCTTTGGCAAAACTGCTCACATCTTTTGACATCTTTAAGTTGGTTTGAATTTCTTAAAAAACTTTCGAGTTTAGAGAAATCTTTGTGTTCAGTATAAGACATTTGTTAGGCATGTTAGTTGCAAACATTCCCATGTAGTGTGTCCTTTAATTTTTCTTATAAGATTTTTTTGCATCACAAGCTTTTAATTTTGATAAATTTGTTTTCTTATATGGGTCAATTTTCTGATGTCATATTTAAGAACATTTGACACTTCCCAAGATTATGGAGATTTTTTGCTATAGTTTGTCTTAAAAGTTTTATAGTTTCACATTTAAATCCATGATCCATTTGTGATTTTCTTTTCTTTGTAGTTTTTTTGAGGCAGGGTCGGTCTCCCTATGTAGCCCAGGCTAGCCTCAAACTCATGATCCTCCTGCCTTAGCTCTCCAAGTGTTGAAACGACAGGCATGGCTCACCATATTCAGCCATTTGAATTAATATTTGTATATGGTATGAGGTTAAGGTCAAGGTTTAATCTGTCTATAATCTCTTCATCCATTAGTTCTTTTTGAAAATAAAAATATACATTTTTTTTTCGGTCTTTTTGAGACATGGTCTCCCTGTAGCGCCAGAAGCTGGCCTGGAACTCACTATGTAGACCAGGCTAGCCTTGAACTCACAGAGATCCTCCTGCCTTTGCCTCCCCAGTGCTGGGATTAAAGGTGTGGGCTACCATGCCCAGTTTATACTTAACTATTCTTAAAATAGTTTAAAAAAAGTTAAATTCCAGGCTGGGTGTGGTGGCATATGCCTTTACTCCAGCACTCGGGAGACAGAGGCAGGCAGACCTCTTTGAGTCCAAGGCCAGTCTGGTCTACATAGTGAGTTCCAGGACAGCTGGGGCTACAGGGAGACCCTGTCTCAAAAAAAACCAAAAAAAAAAAAAAAGCAAATTCCTTTCTCTTTCCATGTAGTTAGAATAAGCTCATCTAAGGGCTGAGAGTATAGTTTAGTGGTTAAGCACATGTTTAGCATGCATATGGCCATGAGTTCAAAGAGAAGGAAGACTATGAGGAGGAGGAAGAGGAAGAGCAGCAGCACCTTGTCAGATGGGAATTTTGCTAAACACACAGGTCAATTTGGAAAGAATCATCACCTTTGTTGTGGATTTATTTTGGCTTATAGTTTGGGGGTGTCATCCATAATGGTGGGGAAGCTACAGGGGCAGGAGCATGAAGCTGCTTACCACTCCATGGGCCAGAAAGCAGAGAATGAGCTCAGGCTAGAAAGGCCCACAGGGCTATAACTCTCAAGCCTCACACCTGCACCCCCGTCTCTGCTAACCTGCAACCCACTTCCTCCAGTGAGGCCCTGTCTCCTAGATGTTCCACAGAATTCCAAAGCATTGAGTGTTCCCTATGAGCCTGTGGGAATATTTCATTCAAACTCCAACACCTA